TTTTTTTTTTCCCAGGCAATTCGGGTCAAACAACTAGTGAAACAAAGTTTTCTGATGAATGGGTCTAAAAAGTGGAACTTCGTACATATGAAGTGTTATTAAAAGGTTAAAACAAATAGTGAAATGAAGACAAGACCTATTGCAGCAACAGCTGATTCACCCTCCGTGCTGCACACACAAAGACCTGCAATGTGTGTTACTCTGACAGATATGACTGCTGCTCTTCTGAATTATACACTCGCTGATCTGCCCACTGTGCTGACCACACAAAGACCAGCTATCATGTGTGTTTAGTAGCAGTTTACCCTGGGAGATAGACTCCCACTCCTCTGATGGCTGATCTAACCTCTTTGCTGCAGACATGAAGACTGCCAGTGTGTTTGTTGCAATTTTTTTTTCTTTTGTCTTTCTTTCTTTCTTTCTTTCTTTTTCTTTTTCTTTTCTTTTTTTTCTTTTTCTTTTTTCTTTTGAAAAGAAGGATGACGGCCTTGAGATATGCATTTTGGACTGAGTCAACTGACCCACCCCAGATAATTCAGAGTCATCTGGTTCAGTTTATCTAGGGATTCAAACTCAGGTTGTATTTGAAGTTTTTTTTTAACAGCTCGTCGTTGTACGAACAGAGCTAGGCCTGTTGATGTTTGTTGCAATGTTAGTTTGATCTCCTGAATTTTATTTTATTTTATGTTTATTTCTTTGCCTCTCTCCTCAAGGGCAAAAACGAACTGGATTTCCTTCCCAGTGTTTCCACTATGGGGTTGCCCATTTCTTTCCTCATTTGTTTCTGCAGCACACTTTTTTTTTTTTTGGCCTTGTTTTCTCTTTTTTCTCCCCATTCCTCTTTGTAATAATTAAACAAAGAAAAAAAAGGAAAAAGAGGGAGGCCATGGAAGTCAACTTCAGGTCCTCCAGAATCGAAAACTCTGTACTTTGGAATCACTATGCTTGAAATACAAAACATGATATTATACAACGGTTTACTGGGCAGTTCTGTTTGGCGATATATACCACGACTTCGATAGCACCCTGCTACGGTTTTCTCCGGTCAGGTTGAGCATCAGTGGTCGAGGCCATCACTATGCAGCCATGCTGTGCCTCTAGTGCCAGTGCCGTGTCTGGAGTGTATTTTCTGGCTGTGACAGACCTTTGTTTGTTTCGTGGGTGTTTGGCTGGCTTGTGACGGGGTGTGAACGTGCAGTCTGTAGAGTTTTTCGTCTGATGTGGGTGAGTGATAGTCTGCTTTGACTTTCATCATAGGTACCTTGAGGACAGTGGTTGGTGCCCACTTCAGGGTATCAGTAGTTGGGCAGTCGTTGATGCTTAACCACAATGGGGGTAAAGGTGGATTATCTATTACAGTAAAATCGGTTAGGGAACTCTGCAGACTTTAGAGGGTTCAGCCTCCTGATCGATCGGTGCAACTCCGACAAAACAATCTTTCATCATCATTTTTTTTTTTTTGCTGTATAATTAAAAAAAAAAAGCAAGCTGCCTTCTCCTCATATGGGGGGGCATGCATTTATGATGCTATTTTCTTCTCTCAATATTTTCCTCTCACACTACCTACCTCGGGCTGTGTACTTGGACTGGTCTACCCACCTTCCGGACCTGCAAGGGGCACTGCAACCCGACCAGCAAGGAACTCAGCCCATGTTCGAGGGACAACTAACTCCACGTTCGAGGTACAGCTACAGGGTTTAGGGTCGAAGACTACACCAAAGCCAGCTACACTAAGCCCTAAATCTACTAGCGAAGACTAAACTACACTATGAGTTATGGGTTGAGCCTAACCGCTGGCATCGGGTGGGAGGGTGACACCAACTTCCCTTAACCAGACCACATTTAAGGGAAGGAGCCCCCCGTCCAACCAACCGGATGGGGCGAGCTGACTATCTCAGTTGGTGAACTCCGTAGTGTGCCTCAGGAGACCGCGGGAATTCAAAAGGAAGGCGCGGGGAATTGAACTCATGACCTGCTAAATGCAGCTTTCATGCTCTTTGGAACTTGCATTTTTTCTTGCCTGCTGTTCTTCTGTCTTGCTACTTTTTGGCTCACTGCCTTGGATTGTTTGTCTTCCCACTCGCCTCCCCCATGCCATCCAGCCTATGTCTTTTGCTTCACTGGCTTTTGTGCCTTGCTGCTTTGTGTTGTTTGTCTGCGTGCCCGCCTCCCCCATGCCATAGCCTTTGTCCCTTGCTGCCCACTGCTTGTCCGATGCCTTGTTGCTTTCCGCCCTTTGCTTTACTGTCTTCTGTTGCTCTTCTGGCCTTTGCACGACTTTTTGTGCGCTCGTCTCATGGGCATACCAGGCTGCAGGCTCATTTTCATGTGTTGCTTATACCCATACCTTTTGATGCAACACTGTGGCACGGTCGCAGAAGTTTGACGAGCAAAATGAACACACACACACACAAACACACACAAAGGGTTGGTGTGAGTAAATTGCCCGTCATTCGATCTCTGTGAATGATACCTTTGTGTCATGCTGTCATCTGCAGAGATTGAATTCCATTATATGGTCCTGTCAATCATTTCATATGTACCCGTGAAAAATGGCGGGGAAATGGTGGCCTTATGGGCACCAGCCTTGAGTTAGTATTGTTGCAATGAACCTTGCAATTCCAATCCAACTCACAACATGTACGCAGAGAACACACTCAGATGAAAGTTCAGACCACACCGAGAGATGACACAAGAATCAGCGCTTGAAGCTTCCCCTTGAAAATATGATACAATACAATTGGAGAGTTCAGATGTTCAGCGGCAATGGCTGCGATCCAGCACAACAACCCGACTGCAGGTATGTACCCAACTCCCTCTCTCTCGGTTTCTGACTCTCTCTCTCTCTCTCTCTCTCTCTCTCTCTCTCTCTCTCTCTCTCTCTCTCTCTCTCTCTCTCTCTCTCTCTCTCTCTCTCTCTCTCTCTCTCTCTCTCTCTCTCTTGTATCTCTCAATTCTCTCACTCTCAAGACTTATATCGCTCAATCTCCCGCTCAACTCTCCTCCCTCACCTAGATCTACCCTGAATGCAACCGCAGTGTGTCACCCTACTCTTGCAGCTATGGCCACCTTCTTCCTCAACCTTCTACCACGAGCTATGGTAACGAAATGTCTTCTTCCCCGTCGGGCACTCGCTCCTCCTCCAGCGCCCACCTTCCATCCACGTCGTACTATCGCACAAGCAACCCGCAGCGCTTCCGCAACTTGCACATGAACAATTGATCCTGCTTGTTGATGCAGATGGGCTTCTATACTTGCTGATCCACCTTCCAGACATCTTCTGTTGGTTATGGGTTGGTTCCCTTGCCTTTGTTCCCTGCTTCTGGAAGCTTACGGACTCTTCTTGGGTTTGGCCTACCCTGCTCCTACTTACCTCTACATCTGCTAACATCCACTGTCCTTTTGACTTTTTCTTCATCTCGGTCGAGGCTTGGCAGTGAGTGATCAGTTCGTCTCCTGTGCCTGCTAGGGAACCATCTAGAGAGACCCTAACACAAGCAGCCTCTGGACAGCCAACTAGGTGGGGGCCAACTTCAGCCTCTGCCAGAGGGGCCTTCAGACAGGAGGTGCCTACTTCAGCGCATGCTTCTTCCTGTCTATCAAAGTCTGAGGCCCCAGTAGGAGCAACCACGACTCCTAGGCATTCCCGTTTGACAGTTGTCTGATTTCTGGGCAAAAGGGAATATGTGGCTAGGGTCTCCACACTTGAGACATTGCCTATCTCTCATCCTTTGACGCCAGAGAGTTTTTGGCATCTTCATCACGGCCCAGGGCTGTCCTTCTTCCTGTTCAGAATGTTGAGGGTATCTACGGTGCCCTCTAGACCCTTGACCACAATTATTAGAGAGGGCATAGTTGCCCCCTCCTCCACCTTGGTAAGCGGGGGATGCCTGGCCACGTTGCGGGGTACCATAGCCCCTATGTCCCGCTTGGAACCCCCTCGGCCTCCAAAACCCTGCATGGCTTGTCCCCGGCCTCCACCTCTTCCACCTCGGCTTCCTCTTGCTCGGCCTCCTCCTCGCCCTCCCCCTTGGGCCACTACGGTCGCATAGTCACCTTCTACAACTACTTGACCTCTCTCAAACTGCTGATTATACTCAAGGTGACCATAATACAACCGTTCAAGGGGGATTTCTTCTGCACCTCCTCCCTCGAATGTCACCAAGAGTTTCTCTCCAGCTTGCACATTGCCAAAGATCATCGTCCCCTCTGCTTCTTCCCTCTCTCAATCTCTTTGAAGTAGTGGAAGTTGGTCTGTGCTAAGAATCTCCACTGGTCTAGCGCCTTCTTGAAGTAGTGGAAGTTGGTCCTAGTGTGCACATTCAAGAACTTCTCTGCAGTGCGCCTCCCCGTCATCTTATCTTCAAACCGCTTATATATTGTTTCTATATAGACATCTAAACGAGTGATGCGAGAGTACTCCGCAATATCCCTCCCGCACCCTGCATTCTCTATAAGGGAGTCTGAGTAACTTGCTGCATCGTCGGCGAACATGACTTGACCTGTTTGTGCCACCTTCTGGCCGTGCACATAGGTCCTAATGGCCTCTTCCCACTGGACAAAATTCTCCTCCTTTTTTTCCATTGTAGGGAAATGTAGGTCCAGGGCATCTTCATCTTGATTTTGTCCTTGGCCTCTTCATCGCCTGTCTCCTTCTTCTCCTTTCTTGATCTCCTTCCCTTCTTGTCTGCTCCTTCTTATCACTATCATCGTCGTCATCATCAGGGGGATCCCCACCTCCTCCTCCGTCTGCTCCCTTCATCACATCCCTATCATGCATGTAGGCTTCTATACCGTATGCGATACTAGAGACCGTATTGTGGATCTTGTGTAGGGTGGCAGTGGCAAAGTTATTCCACTTGCCTTAAACTCTTCTTGGTTGTCGCCGAGTCTCTCTACAGCAGTGCGTAGTGGGGGGGGCCTCAGTAAGTAATCCTCTCTTATCTTTGATCACAGTTCCTTCTCCTCCCTCAGCCTGCTTCTTCAACTTAGCGGCTATGACCACTCCCTCCTCCAGCAGCTTCTTCTTTGCTGCATGCTACTTCCTCTTCTGGGCCGTCGCTTGCTGTGTGGCCTCTATGCAAGCTTCAACTGCAGCCATCTGCTATTCTTCTCCATCCAGTGCCAGCAACACCCTCTCATACTCGCACATCTCCCCCTGCATCTCCTCCAGTGGCCTCTCCTTCTGTAACCCAAAAGTCTCCATCCATTCTCTAGCTTCTTCGTGGATGCAGCCAGGAGGGGGATACGACGGCTTGGTCAAGGCACATCTGCCTTGGTTACCTCCTTCACCCCCATCTTCTTCTTCTTCTTCATCTTCCTCTTCTTCAATCTTCTCCACCTCCTTCAACTTCTCCTCCAATTTCCTCTTCTCCTCGTCCAATCCTTGCTTCTCCTTCTCCTCTTTTTTTTCTCTTTTTATCCTCCTTCCTCTGTCTCAAAATCTACTCCACCCTCTTTCTCTCCTCCTCAGTCAATGACTGGGTCTCAGTTCCGGATTTGGTCACCACGGCCATGCTAATCATCCGGAAGAAACCTAGGGGAACGAAGAAACGGACCAAAGGTCCCCAAAGCACGGAGAGGGCAAGAAAGGAGAGCATGGGTAGTCGTCCATAGTGAGATGCCAGTACAACAGGTATGTCTGTTCCACCTCCTCGCCACTTAGACCTAACCTCAAAACTTACAACCTCAACACTTAACCTGAACGAATTCGGAGTCTGACCAACCTACTTCCCTTTCCCCATGCCTATCACTACAGTTCTCCTAGAAGACTGGTGGCCAACCAGCTGTTTAAGGTCTGCCAGCATAGACTCAGGAACTATTTAACGACGTCGTGGCCACCAATCTGAAGGTTCACTCTCAAGACTTAATTGGCCCTCGCTGCTCTGCCTGGTTCGGTCGCATGCCAGTCAGTATCGGTCATTGGGTTAGACAGGTTGTTTAACGAGTGTCCGCCGCTCATACCCGCGCTCTCTACTGCGCAGGTACTGCCTCAAGCTGCAGAGCTATTACCCTAGACTGACCTAAAGCACACACGAGACTTTCACTCTCACGGATTTAGGGTCCCACTGGGTACACATGCCCCCAGGTAGGCCGGCAACCACTAACCACTTCCCCACAAGGGGAGGGGCCTTTCCTCCAGGAGAGATCGGTACTCTGACTGACCAATCAGCATGCAGACTGATTGCTGACTCGAAATTGACAAGATGACATCAACAAAATTGACTTGCAGCAGCCGTCACCAAGAAGGTACGTGGAGATTCCAAGAAACAACAAATCCCAACAAGCAGGGCTAGGGCAAGAAGCACTTCGCTTGGGTGTTCAGGATGCTCCCTGCTGGTCTTCAACTCTTGCAGGTACATATGCCACGCGTCCAACCCTAATTTCGCACCTTCCTCTGCGGCCTACTGCCACTGGTCACCCAATCTTGCACACCCCCACCAGCCTTTAACCTTGCTGGCGTCTCTTCCACGCCTGTAGTGCAACGGGCTCCAGCTCTGATACCAGTGCAGTGAACCTTGCAATTCCAATTCAACCCACAACAATGTATGCAGAGAACACTCAGATGAAAGTTCACACCACACCAAGAGATGACACAAGAATCAGCGCCTGAAGCAATTCCCCTTGAAAGTATATATGATATAAATCGTATAATACAATTGGAAAGTTCAGTTGTTCAGCGGCAGTGACCGTGATCCAGCACAACAACGCGACTGCAGGTATGTACCCCTGTCTCTTATACACATCTAGATGTGTATAAGAGACAGGTACATGAGGCCAATGGGGATTGAACCCACGA